GGTTAAGCTAAAGAAGAAGAAGAAAGCCAGTCGGTTTCCATAATATGATCTTGAATCTACCATTTTCAAAGAGAACATCAGGGATCACTTTGAAGTCCTGAACTTCATTGATGGTGAACCACAGGAATTATGGAATGAACTTAAAGAAGTCTTTAAGGATGAATGTGAAAAGAGACTGCCAAAAATGAAGAAAGAAAAGAAAGCAACCTGGATGTCACAGCAAACCCTGGAAATTGTCAAGAAGAGAAAAGAAGCCAAAGCCAAGAAAGACAAAACTCTCAAAAAGGAAATTAACAAAGAGTTTCAGAGAGCTGCTAGAAGAGACAAGAAACAGTATTACAACAACATCTGTAAAGACACTGAAGATGGAAACGGACGTGGAAAAACAAGGAAAGTCTTTCAAAAGATCTCTGAACTCAGAAGGAGGATCCAATCTTGAATTGGTATACTAAAGGTTACCAATGGATAGACAGTAACCGAATCAAAGGAGATCAAAGGAAGATGGAAGGAATATATTGAAACACTATACAGTAGAGTCATCAACATCCAAGATGCCTTAGATATTCCTGACTTTCTTACTTACTGCCTCTAGTACTAGAAGATGAAGTTAGATCAGCACTCCGGTCATGACCAAGTCAGAAGGCTATAGGAACTGATGGAATACCCACTGAAATATGGCAAGCAACAGAAGAATCAATCAAAGTTCTAAACAAGCTGCGCCAGCAAATCTGGAGAATGACACAGTGGCCAACTGATTGGAAGAGGTCAATCTACATTTCAATAACAAAAAAAGGAGACTTAAGAGAGTGTGCAAACTATCCTACAATATCCTTAAATTCACATGCTAGCAAAATAATGGTTAGGATCATCCAACACAGATTAGAGCCCTACATGGAAAAAGACATGTCAGATGTCCAAGCTGTCTTTAGAAAAGGCCAAGAAACACGAGACATCGTTGTTGTTTAGAAAAGGCTGAGGAATACTACACGCTGGATAATTGATAAAGCCAAAGAATACCAAAAAGAAGTCAGTGTGTGCTTCATTGATTACAGAAAAGCCTTTGTGTCAATCATGTCAAGCTGTGGAAAGTGCTCAGAAAAATGGGAATCCCAATGTTCTCCTGAGAAACCTATACACAAGTCAGGAAGCCACAGTACAGACAAAACTTGGTGAGACAGACTGGCTGTTTGTCCAGGTTGGCAAAGGAGTGTGACACGGCTGTATATTCTCCCCTTACTTATTCACCTGTATGCTGAATATATATTAAGGGAAGCTGGAGTGGAAGAAGATGAGTGTGGTTCTAAAACTGGAGGAAGAAACATCAATAACCTGCACTATGCTGATGACACTAACCTTATCAAAGGATCTGCAAGTCCTAGTACTAAAAGTCAAAGGGCACTAATAACAAATAGGACTAAAATTAAATATAAAGAAGACCAAACTAATGACAACAGGTAGAACAACCAGCTTTAGAACTGACAATGAAGATACTGAAGTGATGGATAGTTTCTGCCTTTTAGGATCAACTATCAACAGTAAAGGAACAAGCAATCAAGAAATATGCCGCAGACTAGCACTCAGTAGAGCAGCCATGAAAGCCTTGGAAAAAATATTCAAATGCTGTAATGTGTCTATACCTACAAAGATCAGAACTGTGCAAGCTATGGTATTTCCTGTGACACTCTCTGGAAGTGAAAGTTGGCCTTTAAAGAGGCAGGATAGGAAGAGTATTAAACGCCTTTGAACTTTGAACTCAGGAGAAGACTCCTGAGAATACCATGGACAGCCAAGAAAACAAGCCAATGGATCATTGAACAAATCAACCCAGAGTTCTCACCTGAGGCACAAATGAACAGGCTCATTATCTTATTTTGGACACCTTATGCGAAGACCTAGCTCTCTGGAAAAGGCTCTAACATTGGGAAAGATAGAAGGAAAAAGAAGAAGAGGACAACCAGCAGCAAGGTGGTGATGAGTGCACTGTTGGGAGACTTGAAAGAACAGGTTAGGGATAGGTTGTCATGGAGAATGTCTGTCTGTATGTGATTGCAAGGCGTCAAAAACCACTTGATGGCATAATCAATCACTCAATCAGTCAAGGCGGGTTTAAGGAGTTCAGTTTATATTATGAGCTACCAAAAGAATTGATTTTCACAGCCAGAGCCCATCTGTATTGTTTAAGACCTAACAAGGTCCCATGGGACGGGGGGAGGCACACTAGGAATGTCAACACTGAAAACATGGGCATATAGAGTGTGTTTGTCATAGAGAAATATGACTGTGAGGATATAACCTCTAAGATTATTATGCAGAGGATGGACTGTTTGAAGACGGTTTGACAGTGGTATGGACTGCCATGGGAGTTGGTGAGCCCTTCTTTGGTTGAGAAAGATAACTGAGATACGTGAAGGCCACACAGCCATCTATTGGAGGTGCTGCATTACTGAGAGGGAAATTGGCCTAAGGAAGATTTATGATTTCTTCCAACAATTATTCAATACATTTAGAAAGACATAGCTTTGAACAGGATCTGGAGATACACCCTTAAGAACTAGAATAATGCACTTTAATAAATACTTTGGAAGGAATGTGGAATACAGCAGTGAACTTTACTCAGTTTGCATAAGCAGGGAATATGTCTGAAAACTGATGAAGGAAAATGGAATCTTAGAGGAAGGATCTCTTCCTCATTCTTATTTTGCCTCAATCTTTCTTTGTCTCCCTCTATATATTAATACTGTATTTCTCAAAGGAAATTATTCAAAGAAAGAGTACTGTTGAACTAACAAAGATAATTAAAGCATCAGCAACGTATCACAGAAGGCAAAGCTTTCTATAAATTCCTTATCTACTTACTTAGGTTAAGAGTTAATCCTCTTAAACTGAGATTTGATTTCAGCAGCAAAAAGCCAAACTGTCTGTTTTCTAAAAGATTTTGAATTTTGTCTCAATTTGCCAAGTAATTTTTTGCTACCTAATAATGCAAAATGATTTCAAAGCCTGTATTATGATTGTGCCATTAACTGGGCATAGTTTTAATTTCAAATGAACAATATATGGAATAAGGTAAAGTCTCCCTTGAGTTCAGCTCAACTCCTGATTACATGTTATATAATGTATGAAGTTTTCTTCTCTAGCAATATGAAAGTTGTTCATCATTGCCTTCTGCTTCTTTTTTCCTAGAAAAAATTCTCAGACTATTCATCAGCCTTTGGTCTCTGACTGAAATACTAGTCAGGTCCATTGCTTCTTAGCTTTTTTGAGATCACCCAAGGTCAGCTAAATGTTGCCACCTGCAGCTGTGATATACAATTTGTTCTGTTGCAGGCATTACTGAAGATCATAAGGGTCCACAATTCTGAGGAGTGAAAATTTGTAGCACAGAATGCACAGTATCTGTACAGACTCCTCGCCTGATTGAAAAACACTGATTTAGACCCTTGCACAAACTTGGCAACTTTAAGGTGTGTGAACTTCAACTCCCAGAATTCCCCAGCCAGCATGAGAAGCATGCTGGCTGGGG